CAGTTCTACTATTCTGAGCTGATAGCGGGATGGTGTCGATTGCTTTGAGCGGCAGCGCTAAGCTTTACAAGCGGGGGAAGTTCTGCTTCAAAATCTACCTGCAGCAATCGGACCACATCAACGCTTCTGGGTCAACTTCACCGCGGCCCAAACGACAAGAAAGCACGGATGCAACAACTATGGTCTCTAGTAAATTGGAGTTGTTCCCATCCCGCGATCTCTCTTGTTTTCTCTGCCTAGGATTGAGTTCTTGCCGGCATCGACGGGAGACCCAGAACCAAACTTGGAGTCCACTCTCGAGGCATCTCTACTTCTGGAAGGGAGGACACATCAGCGCCATTACTGTCAGAAACGGCCGAAGAGTGGGCAGAGTGAGTGTTCAGAACACGGGAAGTGATGACAATTTGGCACCTTCAATAAGACTCGCTGCGTGTCTGCAGTGCAGACTCGCAGAAGCCGCAGAAAAACATCGATTAGAATGAATTAAAGTGAACATTTGTTTGGGTTTCGTACAAGGGTACAGCGGACAAGATGTTGCTGTTTTGAGAGGTGATTGGGTTGTTGCGTCCACGGCGACGTAGACAGGTCAACGACTCGTAGGTAGCAGGTCATATGTGGCGGCGTGCACGGAGAGTGTCTGTTTCAGAAAGGTGGCTGATAGATACAAGCTCAAACGGCGGCTTGCTCTCTTCAACAGAAGACGTTGATCTGAAACGGGCATATCGAAAGAGTGCTTTAAAGTCGTCAGAAGGGGAGGGAAAGAGCGTTACTTGAAGGCGCTGAGCACAGGAAGAAGAAAAAACGTACACCTTCTCTTTGAAAGCGCTCGCGTACAAAGGCGGCGGAACAGCGTGTGAAGCTAAGAAGAAAAGAAGGCTTGTCGAATTCATCGTGTTGTCCACAGCCGGTTGGACTGCGTTTTGGTTTTATTCGGGTGAAGATCGAGAGAGCTGAGACCGGACGTTGGTGAGAAAAGCAACAGAAGAATGGGGTTGACGATTTGGGAAGTGGTGCCCTTTGTGGCTTTGTTCGGTGTGCTGTTCACGTTGGTGGTATTGTTACAAAAAGTGAGAAATGCGCCTGCACCACAAGTTGCGGAAGGTGACAGAGCGGAAAGCAGAGATGTGGGCGAGACGGGGAGCGGTGTTGAAGAGCGATCGGCAGGAACGGTGAGACGACGCCGGGGCGGACTTGCTCGGATGCGACGTGCTGTTGGCACAGAGGAGGGCGGGGAGGTTGAGGAGAGTGTTGTGAGTGGTGCAGCGGGCAGGAAGAAGAGCAAGAAGGAGGCGAATCGAGAGGCTAGACGGGAAGCGCGTGAAGCGCGGTTAGCGGCGGTTGAGGAACGGCGGGAACGGGAGTCGCGAATGGAGGAAGCGAGACGTGAGGAGGACGAACGAGAGATGGAGGAGATGCGAGAAAGGGAGGAAGAGGAGAGAAAAGAACAAGAGGAACGCGACAAGAAGGAGAAGGAAGAATATGAGGCTTGGAAGGACATGTTCAAATTGGAGGAGGAGGGGGAGGATGGAGGGATGGAAGAAGAAGATGAAGAGATGTTGGAGAAATTCTGTGGTCGGTTGAGGGAGGGTCGGATTGTGGTGTTGGAGGAAGTAGGAATGGAATTTGGAATGGGGACGGAAGAGGTGGTGGATCGGGTGGTGAAGCTGGAGGAGATGGGACGGATTAATGGGGTGTTTGATGATCGTGGGAAGTACGTTTGCGTTAGTGAGGAGGAAATGAAGCAAATGGCTTTGTTTATTGAGAAGAGGGGTCGGATTAGTATTGAGGAATTGGCAATTGAAACGAGCCGATTGCTTGAATTGGATTCGGTAACATAAGGGGGCGGTGCGTAGCGGGTAGAACGAGTAGATACACGGAGGGTGGTAAAAAGGGGTTTTCCTCCTTGCGGGCGTATTGTTTTACACAGGGTTTGTAAGCAGTTTTGTTTGCACGAAGCGGGGCAGGGGTAGGTGGGCGGGCGGTGGACTGGCGGTCTCAAAGGTGAGGCCGGCGTACTTTGAGGGTTGTTGGTGAGGCTGGGTGCGATGCTTAGGGGGTGTTGCTGGGGGAGATTGGGGGTGGTGCGAAGACGGGGTGTGGGCTTGCGGTGGGGAGTGGGTTGGAGATGGGGATTGACGGCGACTTCGGATGTTTGCAGGGGTTAGAAGACGGGAGTGTCGGGGCTGGGCAGGTGGGGACGGGGTGGTGTGGATGGGTTCTGTGAAGTAACCGGAGGAGTGGTCCCAGCGACGAAGGGCGAGTGTCGGAGGGGGGAGGGGAGTGTGGGGGAGGAGTAGGGGGCGAGGGTGTCGTTGACGACGTCCTTGCCGGGGACGAAGAAGGGCACGAGGTGGCGCGCGGAGGTGTGCATGACGGATGGGGGGGGGGGGGGGGGGGGGGGGGGGGGGGGGGTGGGGGGAACGAGGGGAAGGGGATGGGGATAGGGAGGGGGGGTGATGGAGGTGTGAAGGTGGGGGCGCGTGGCAGCGGAGTGTGTTGGTAGCAAGGCGTACAGCTGGAGGCCTCGCCGTTTTATGGGCGGCGCGGCGTGTTCGCGTTCGCGTGCGCTTCCGCGTGTCCGTTCGTGTCGCCATGAGCTGGCACAATTGCAACCGCTTACGTCGCGCTTACAGCGTTCTTGTGCGCGTGGCCACGTGTGGCTGTCACATTGTTGTACGGCGCACATTGGGCGCGCATTGCTGTACTGACGTTGGCTCCGCTGGACGTGGGCGCGTGGCCAGGTGGCGACGCATTGAGATGCGCTGCGCTGCGCATTCGCACGTGGACTTCGTGTCCGCTGCCGCTTCTGTAGCTCAGCCGGTTAGAGCGCTAGCCGCACATGCTGTAGGCGCCGAGTTCGAGCGTCGGCATTTTTATGGGAGACGTGGCGACGTGGCGACGTGGCGACGTGGTGGTGGCGGATGGAGGCGCATGGCGCGGGGGGGCCGCGAGTGCGGCAACGGAAGCGGCATGCAGTGAAGCGGCGCGATTTCTGTGGCGAAGCGGCGGGCGTGACGCTCCGGTCCGTGGCGCGCGCCACCGCACGTTTGACGTGTGCCGTGTCACGCGCGTTGTTGGGCTGCACGTCTCGGCGTGTGTGCGTGTCTGCCTGCGCGTGTGCGCCCCTTTGGGGCTGCCCGCCCCGCCGAGTCGTGTGTGCTCGCTGCTCGTGCCAGTTGTTGCTCTTAAAACCACCCCCCACACCCCCCCCTTCCCCCCCCCCCCCCCCCCCCCCATCCCGCAACTCCTCCCCCTTCCCTTCGCGAGATACACTCTCATTTCCACTCCTTCTTCAACTTTTACAGTAACTCAAAACATGACTCTCACTACAACTTGTTCTTCTTCTCCCTCCTTCGACGGCGCTGTGAGAACGCGCGCCCCCTTGGTCGGCCTCCTGCTCTCCTCCTCCAACCTCCACCTTCAAAACGCACTTGAAAACTATGACGCCGCCATCATGCACACTCCCCTGGCCCCTTCACTCTGCGAAATGCGCGTTCAGCTCCACGCCACGGCCTTTGAGCTCGCAGCCACGTTTTCATTGCCTGTAGGTTACGTAGCTGCCAACTGGATTACCTCCAACTCCCCGCTTTGTTTCTCCTCTACAAATCGCTTCGCGCGCTCTATGTCAGCGCATGCCGAATCCTCTGCCGTCGCCTTGAACCGCTTCCACGCCCTTTTGTGCTCCAGGCTGGATGCTGTCCTTGCTCAACGCGCCCATGTCGATTCCGGAGGCGCCCCTCACGCCGCCAGACCCAGTCGAGCACGCTTTGAACGAGTATATGAACGCGTCGCCAGACACGTAACAACCCTTGAGCCATCGCGCCAACAACAACAACAACAGCAACAACAACAAGCTACCATTGCCGCCAATGCACGACGCAAGCCCAGTGCGGAAAAGCTTTCGTGTGGATTTGATGCCTCGCTCACGCACGGTTACATTCAGCTCAGCGCGCAACGGAAGAATGCATGCAAAACCGTTCAGTCCTTGTATCGCACTGCCGTAGCAGCCGCCCGATTCACCCGCGCCGCCAACTACTACGCGGAGTTCGAAGTGGCTGACGTTGCTGATGGTGGTTTGTTGGTCGGCGTTGCTCAGCCAACGAACACTTCTTTGAATGGCTTGTTGGGGGAGGCCGCCGGTGCTGCCGCCTTTCATTCAAGTGGGTTTTTCGTATGTGACAACGAATGGAAGCAGATGGGATGTGCTTTTGGAAATGGTGATGTGGTCGGCTTACTGGTTTGTGTGAACGATTGCTGCTTTGGACTTGCTAGTTTGGAGCTGTCTACAACCAACAGTTGCATGTCACCAAGTGAGCCTACTACTTGCTCTGGATGCTGCTCCACGGGATGTGGCACTTGTTCGGGCAAGTGTGCATGTTCAATATCTGTTTTTGTAAATGGTGTTGCGAAGGGAACGCTTCGGGGAGTGGCTTGTTTTGCTGGAGCTTCTTTCGCAACCTGCTTGTATCGACGGACACAGAGCGTTGGACTTCGCTGTTGCGCGGTGGAATGGAGGTATTTTGCCGCGGCGGCAGCAGTTGGCAACGGTGATGGTGATTGCATTCGTCTCAATGCGGCATGTCACTCGAGACGGTGTGCTTCGGGAAGTGGCGTTACTACAGATGGAGACGGGGACGATGAAGCTGACGAAAAGGTTGCAGACGGTGGCTCGGACTTGTGCGCGGTGACGTCGTCGGTGCTGACGCCTTAGCTTTGGTTAGTATGGTTGGTGTGCATAGTTTAGAAGTTTTTTGTGTGTACTGCTTGGCGTTGTAGATACTTGACGCATGTGTAATAAAAGCGCTCGAGGAACGGAGATGCTTTGTGCTTGTAGCTGCGGGCCGGTCGCGTGTGGGTTGTGCTCACTACGCAACGTGATGGCGGTGCGTTTTGCGGCGGTGTGTGTGTGACAGGGGAGGTGTCCGGATCCGATTGTAAACGTTAGTGCTGCCGTTCCAATAAATAGACGTAGTGAGTCAGTGCCTTCCAGCACGGAAGTCACATTAGCTCAGTCGGCAGAGCGCAGGTCTCATAATCTCCAACGCAGAAGTAATCCTGAGGTCGCGAGTTCAAGTCCGCCAATGAACTCCTCGCATGTGGCTATCTCCCGAAATCTTTTTGCTCCAAACCTCATCTTCGTGACATCTCCTTCGCGTCTCAACCCTTTCTTTTGCGCTCATGGTTTTATGTGTGCGCCCATACTTCTGTGTGCGCGCCATACAGCCCCGTCGCCCCCTTCGCCCCTTTGCGTCCATGTGCGCGCAGCCAACGCCTTTGCGGCTCGCGCCGCGTACTTCTTGTGCACCCCCTCCAATTGTTTATTCTCCTTGTCAAAAGGTGAAGTAGAGGGTATGAGCACTCTCTCGCGGACGCCTCGATTATCGCCCTGTCAGAGGCAACCGTTCTTGGTGTTTACCCCTTACCGCTCTTCCACATCATTGCTTGTCCCCAAGGACTTGCCTAAAATCCATACTTATGTTAATGCCTTGTTTCTGCGCTCGCAACTTTGCATCCACATCGTTCCCTGCAAATGGCGCATCCGTTATTTGTCCACCTGCAACACTTCGAGACGCCGCATCCAATCACTATGCACACAAACAAAACCATTCCCCCCTTCCCACCTCCCTCTTTCATGGCTCTTGATGCCCTAACCACTTCAGCGAACGACTTGGGGCATCGCAGATGCTCGTAGACAGAACAGTCTCATTATAATTCCAACGTCATTAATGACTTGAAATGGTGCAGATAGACCAATGCCCAACCAACGAGCGTCCACAGAACATTCCGCTCGCAACTCTGTGCTGCACTTCGAACGCAGCACAAAGAAGGGCAATTCAATACGTGACTGTTTCTGTCGCGGCCCCTCCGCACATGCCAAACGTCGATTGCGCTCAATTACATGAAACAGTGACGCCGTCATTTTGGACAGCTGTTTGACGTTTTTGCGTTTGCGCTCGATGCGAGCGCGCACCAACCGCGTCAGACGCTCGAGAACAATCACTTCCGTGTTGCCGTCGTTGTGATCAGAGCTCACGAAATTCCATCGTACGGATGGAAACGCTTGTGTTAGATGCAGAGCCCGAAGCACTTGCAAAGCGTCGTACACCCTTCGGCGCAAGTTACGCGAATTTGTAGCGGACAGAGAAGCGTTTGCAACTCGACCGTTTGTAAACGACCATGTTGAGTGTGCAGAGTTCGGACAGCAGTCTTTAGCCAGCTCATTGGCCAGCTGTTGAGCGGTCTTGAGGCGCGTTGTGCGCAGTTTGTAGATGAGGTTTAACGTGATGGAGCGCAGATTGGACGGCGGAGCGTGTGTTGATGTAGCCCGCATCGTTGGGACACGAGTTTGTAGGTGACAGTTAGTGCTTGCTGAAGTAGGCGCACTTGGACTTGTCATTGCTTCACCACGACTTGCCTCTTGCCATACAAGCCACCGGACAGTGCCGCAAGCGCGTGAGGCCGCATTCACCGCTCGCTGACGCGACTGGTGGTTGCGCCTTTGAAGAACGCCCTCTTGTGCAGCCGTTCTCTCGCGCCGTATCTCGAATGCAGACAATGGCGAACCTGTGCCCTTTTGACTGTTTCGTGGTGAGCTTTCTCTGCATTTTCGCGCCCTTTCCTTAAAGAGCCTGAGTTACGGGACGCCACGCACGTCAATTGGGCCACTATACAAGCGGGTATTGTTTTCTCCTTGTTCCTCATGCGCAACACCATGTAATATTAGCAACAGTCGAGCCGCTTGGGTCACGCATGCCGCCTCCACTGCAGAGCTGTCATTGGTGCATGTCAGTTTGTCGACGCCGTTTTCTTGCTTCACAACTTCGAAAAGTTCCTCTTTCTCCCACGGCTGCAAATGTGGGCTTGTTTGTCCCACAAGAACAACTTCACACTCCACCGCTGAGATGTCCCGCCGACCCCTCCGGCGGTTTGGCTATCTACAGCTCTGCGGAAAAAGCCAAAACAGAAGCGCCGTCATGTCACGTATGTTTCTTTCAATTCGGAACTATATTCGCGTTCTGTCAGCAACACCTTGAGCCACTTCCCTTTCTCTCTACCTCCATGACCGCTGATGTTGGCTTAGAACTGCTTACAAACAGCACGAGCACACAAGCCACGAAGCTTGTGCCCCCTCGCACCTGTCTGTCAGTGCTGGAGAACCAGTGCAAAAAAAAAACAGCAGACAAATTACTCGTGACGAGCTGTTCAAACTTGCACGCTCTCTGCATCTACGAAGGGGCCAAGAGTTGCGCGTAGTCACGTACCAGGGGTACAGGCAAGACTAAGACAATAACGTCACTTCTGGTCTGCGTCGCTGTGGATAGTGGGGAAGTCGGCTCGGCCCGAAGCGCCGAGCCACGGTTCATTGTGGTCAATAGCCGAAGTCGACGCAAGGGCAAGAGTTAACCCTTTACCAACGGTACCAACCGTAGGCATACACCAAGGTAACATTGCCCGGGTAGCTTAAGCAACGAAACAACTGATATGTAAGTCCCGCACTCTTCGACCGCATTAAGCCAACCGCCAACAAACAGGGCGTGAGCCACGAAGAAGATCATACTCGATGAACCACGACATTCATGATTCGTTCGGTGAGCTACAAATTATCTGGTGAACTGGTCGTGAGCGCTATCCCTAAAGCCTTTCGATAAAAAGAGGTCACGCAAAAGAACGGCGGATAGGCGTATCTTGGTTCGGGCATTTTATTCGGCACAAGGTGTAAGATTCCGGTTAAACCAAAAAGATCTGCCCGCGTGTTACAAATGAAAAGACATTATCCACGTGGAATCTCAAAATATCTCCCCATCGACATCATACCACAAGCAAGTGGAAAAGACATCACGATCGTGTGACTGCGTTGCTCCAGGTAAGAGGGCTAGCGGTAGCCCTTACCGTTGACACCATCATACCCTTGAGGAAAGTGAAAGCACGAAAGCACGAAAGCAAAAATTGTTTGTGGGATACAACAGTTGCGAACAGTATGACTCAGAGGGTCATAGATTAGGATTATCTTTGGTACGCGTTGCAATCAATGAAGCATACGAAACGCTTAGGTCTCCACCTGGAAGCCGAAAGTAACTCTTGAAACGTTTCTTAGGCAGCTCTGCTTTGCAGATCTGCACACAATCGCATATATGATCGGATACATCTATCACACGAGGGACTTGCGGCTAAGCTTACTGAACAAGAAGGTGCCAACCTTAGGTACGGCCAAACTCTTCCTGTTCTTTTCTTGGGCTTGTGACACAAGCCTTGCGTACCTCATTTCGACAATACGAAGAAGATTCTCGTTCTACAAACTACTGAATTCGAGTCATTGATAACAAGTTATATCTATTTCTCTCTTTGCTCTATCAGCTCGCAAGCACAGACCCCGGGGATATTTTCTTCTACGTCGTTTCCGACGAAAATTCTACAGTCACGCAGATATTTCAGCACTTCATATGTAACGTTCTCACGGCTTTGTGCGCGAGGATTCCTTCATGTGTGTCATCAGACCCTTTCTCAAAAAGTGTGGGCAACCTAGGTTCCTAGGAGACTAACTTTCAGCAAACATGCACCATTGCGTTCGGCCGGTCACAAGTATTGAGCGGTTACCAAAGAAGCGCATCGGAGATTCATTGCTGTGGCAAAGAAGTGAACAAAGTTTAACACGACGGAAGAGAGTCGACAAATATTAACAATCCATTTGCTTTACGTTTGGTCAGCAAAGTGAGTGCGTACCATCACTACACCAAAGTTTGGTGTAGTGATGGTACGCACTCACTTCGTCAGGCACACCGGTCACCACCTCATCGGTAAATCGGAGGCATCGAACTCCTGATCTCTTAACATCTCCCCTTGCTTGCAACCGGCAAGCGCACACTTGGGTTTGACGCAATACTTATCAAGCACCTTTGCAACATCAAGTGCGTGCGTTTCTGCTGCCGGTGGCATCACGAATTCAGACAGCGCGGTATGATCCAATAAACGTAACCGTTTGTTCCTACTTATTGCGTAGCAGTGTCAATCGCATACATACTTCTCTTCTCTCCGGTATTAGCATCAGGTCTAAGTTTTCTCAGCTTCACCACGGCAGAGGACGAAAAGTCGTTGAGAAGAACGGAATGGATCAGCTTAAGTTCTTATTTCTAGCTAAGACCTTCAAGGCAGATGGGACTTCTGTAGAACCTCACCAAAACGTAGAAGGCTAGCAATCTACCCTTGGAAGGTTGAGGGTTAGCGGTCCTGCTAACCCTTTACCGTTCAAGGTTGGTGCAAGGGTAAAGGGTTTAACCTAAGTGAACGATTCGTTTACAATGTTTTTATTCTTATTTGAATTGTATAATTAAAATTGTAAGACTCATCAATGTCGGTGCAGAATATGACATTGTTACGACTGGGCTACAAAAGTGTCCGGACAGACACTGATGCGACACTGTCCAACGATATTTATAGTGAGCTGCCACAGAATAAATACATCTGCCACAAAACAATAAACAAAGCGGAGTATTAATGTTCAATGGAATAAAAGGGAAGACACTGCAACGGTGAACTGGCCCGAGGTTCTTCTTCTTCTTTATTGTGGGTTCAATATGCCTGATTACGGCATATTGCGAAACACCTTCCTTTCCCAAGAAAGGCTAACAACTTTTGTGGCCGTCTACTAGGGAGCTAACATTCATGGTAAAACGTGCCAAGGTATATCGCTCACCAAAACCGTTCGTATCGTTCGCAAGGCGCACACAAATACATCAGAGGGCGACATGGTTGCCACCCGACTTGACCATTCTGAACAGAGATGAAGTCTATGCATCCAAAGCAACTAGAATCTATTATAGGCTGAAACTATCACTTCCTCAAAAGCACTACACGCTTGCATTGTCATCAAAACTGCTTGCCTCCTCTGCAGATTATCGACGATATCATCCACTGCAGTAAAAAGTATTCTAAGAACGTTCTCAATCTCGCGATCTCAGAAGGCGACATGTTCAGACTGGCAAGAAGATATCTTTCGGAAACTTCAGAAGGCAGTGTATGCTCTGGACAGACGCAAAGCTTTTGATACGTCTGACTGTGATATGTTTTTAACCACGACATCGACTCCCAGTTGTGCTCAGTC